GCTCTATATATCTTGCCTTGGGAATGCAAAAGAAAATCTGTGCCACTGTTCCAAAACAGGATTTTTTAATCAATCATTTTCATGATTATGACAAGAGAAAGGCAAGAGTTTCTCTATAGAGGAGGTTGGTAAAGAAAGTAGGAGAAAGTTATGTCTTCTTAGATAGAAGTAATAGTTAATAGAGGGATGGATTTGAGGTGTGTCTATAAAAATAGTTTGCTTTTCTATTTTCCCAGCCAATAATATAGATGAGCTAAAGAGAGTTAATAACATAAATAAGCTGGAGAGAGATCTTAAATTATTTGCCTTTCCTTTTCCTTCCTTCTTGCATTTATTGCATTAATTTTCCACCTTTTTTCTAGGCATTATACTCAGTTCATTTTTTTCCCCACACAACAATCATCCTCCATGGTGGATTGACTTGAACTCCAGTGGGGATCTTCAATTATCCAGACATAGACATAGGCTACAACAAAGAAACTAAATTTCTAATATCCTAAATGAATGTATCTTAGAACAGATGGACTAGAAAGGAGGTAATCCTAGATTTAATCCTAAATCGTGACTGTGATCTGAGGCAAGATATAAGCATTGTGAAACTAACAGAAACGGTGACCAAAATACTGTTATATTTAGCATACATGGAAATGGGAAACTGCCAGCTGGGTGCAACAGTCACATTTGATTACAAGAGGGGCAACTTCTCAAATATGAGGGAATTATGAAAAAAGACTGCAAGGAAAAATCAAGAGAGCCAAATCTCTTCTTAATGCCTGAATGTTAATTAAACCCACAACAACTGAAGGTCAACGGGAATGTATTCTACAGTGTAAGAAAGAGTCGTCCAAGAGCTGGCTCAGATGCATGAGAGACATGCATGACTCTCTAGCAGTGTCCAGGAAACTGTAAAAGGGAAGTAGTTTTTCTTCAGGAAATGGAAAGAAGCCTTCCTAATGAGGAAAATAATAGGAAGCACAACTCTGGGAGGGGGAAAAAAAATGTAAGGTGATAATAAGGAATTAAAAAAAAAAACAATTCTCTCCAGCAAACAGAACTAAGGGAAACAGTATTGTTTCTTACTTGGAGTAGGACATCAGCTAAGGAAGCAGTTGGGGTGTCAATGTTGAAAAGATCCTCAGGGAGGATGTAGACATTGCAGAGAAACGGAATGATTTTTTTGCATCTATCTTTATAGGTAGTCCTCGACCTACTGTACAATCATTTGTTCAGTGACCGTTTGAAGTTACAATGGCACTGAATGAATGGTGGTTACAACCAGTCCTCAGAGTTCTGGCTGTCCTAGCACCCCTGCAGTCACGTGATCACGATCTGGGCACTTGGCAACCAGTTTGCATGTACAACCGGTTGCAGCACCCCACAATCACATGAGTGCCCTTTGCAGCCTTCCCTGCTGACTTCCCCAGAAAGTCAGTGGGGAAGGTGGCAGGGAAGGTTGTAAGTCTTCTTAACTCATGCACCCTCCCCCAGCCCCTCTGCGCTTTCACTGTGCCAGTCACTTGAGCACATCTGTGCACCCTCCTTGACCCACGCCACGCCTCTTTCTCACCCCCTCGTACCTTCCCTGACCTGTGCCGTGCCTCTCACACACCCTTGCGCACTCTTCCTGACCCACACCATGCCTCACACACACCCTTGTGCCCTCCCCAACCCACGCCTCTGACACACCCTTGTGCACCCTCCCTGACCCGTGCCATGCCTCTTGTGCACCCCCTTGCGCCCCCCCCCCACCCCCCCCCACACCCCACCCCCCCCCCTCCCCCCCCCCCCCCCACAAAAAAGGAGTGGGGGAGGGGTGGCAGGGAAGGTTGTAAGTCTTCTTAACTCATGCGCCCCCCCCCAGAGCGTCGGTGGGGAGGGTGGCGGGGAAGGTTGTAAGTCTTCTTAACTCATGCGCCCCCCCCCAGCCCCTCTGCGCTTTCACTGTGCC